TTGATTACTGAGCCCAGTAATCCAGTTAGTTTTCTATCCATCTTATAGTCCCCAACCCATAGTTCCTTAGCTTGCTTACTCACGGTACTGAATATTCACTGATATACTCACAACCCTTAATGTTAAATCCTTTGGCTTAAGCTAGGGGTGCTCAACCTCCAGGCCTCAGGCCAAATGCAGTTCATGGAGCCATCTCAGCTGGCCCACTGGGATCCCCAAGATGCCAGAAATTTGGAGGTGGTGGAGCAGTGGCCACTAATATGGCCACGCCCTCCCCCCCCGATTCAAATTGCTGAGCCCCAAACCCCGAGTGCGTTTCCTTCCCTCATCGGACCAATCCATTACCCGTCTTTCCCCCACTTGTGGCTTGGGGCTGGGCCACACTGCCTTCCCCCCACCATGGGGCTGGGTTGGAACTGGGGCCACACCCCCTTCCCACACAGGTGGTCAAGCTCCTTTCCCCTATAGAGCCACGTTGAGGTCAGCCCCCTGCATCCTCCATGTGATCAGAGGGTACCTACTGCACCCACCCAGGGGTTTGGACCAGGGCCACTAGCTGGATCTGGCCCACTGGACAAAAGGGCTGGGCACCACTGGCTTAGGCAATACCATCAACATGATAACTGATGGTCAGTAAAGGGGTTTGTGGTCCAAAAAGTAACTCATGCAACAGCTTTGAGTCAAATAGCTTTATCCAGAGGAAAGGCCTTGATTAATTCTTTGTTCACAGAAGCTGCTGAGTGGCTGAAAAAATTGGACACTGATGTCTAGTTTTGCTTTTCAAGTTGCCACATGAAGGTAGAAGGAAGATGTAGGGCTATAATAGAGTCAAGAATAAAAGTAAGGGAGAGCACAAGAGACTGGATTTCCCTTTTTTCTTGGAGTTACAGGCAGGTTGAGTCACACAGGGCTTTTCTTCTTCTAGTGCCCCATGTTCTCGCATCAAAGCCAAAAAACTACTTCAGAAAAGTCAGCCAGTCAACATGACCTCAGAAAGGAACCTCAGGCTTTCCTTTGTCTTGTCATAAGTTCTGTGGGCTATGCAGCCTAAGACAGTCCAATATTACTGAATCCTGAACCTTTAACATCACACTAGTAAGCTTGAGATGATAAGCTAGTAACATCACAGATACCTGTGTCTTGACATCAGCCCAGTGTCATGCTGAACTAAATACCTCATAAATGTGAATCTTGAATTCCACCCAGCTGCTAAAGCTAGTGAAAGCATCTCATACTCTAACATAAGTCGGGCCCAGATGCCAAAAAAGGCACATGTGTGCAACAGCACATGTGAGCCCTTGGCTCCCCCCAACCCCACCAAGCAAAGTGATGGGACCAGAGGGAGAGGAGCCAGCAGGAGCCAGCAGCAGCAGCAAAAAGGTAAGCCAAGCAAGGTGGGGGAAGGGTGAGGAGGAGCCAGGCCAGCTGTAGGGAAGGGTTTTTTTTCCCCTCCTGTCCTTATTTAGCTGTGCTGTGCAGGAGCTGCACTCCTGAGCCGCGCGAACAGATTCCGCAAACAGGCACGTTCAAGAGCGTGCTGGAGTTTGCGTGGGAGTGGGCACAGGGAGGAGAGCAGGAGGAGTCTGAACTCTGCGTGTCCACATCACTGACTTCAGACAGAGTCTTCAGAGTACGCAGCTGAGTGCACATAAAGGAGTCTTAATGGGGGTGGTGCCTCGGATCGCAGCCAGGGACCCTTCCAACCCTAGCATTTATGAATCTACGAACCATGCCAGCAAAGCAGAGTTGCCAAGTGCAGCAAGGGATCTCAACCCCTGCTACTGAGTGGAAGGTTAGCTGCAAGGGCAGCAGGGGTGAACAATTTGGAAAGGGCCACAGTGATCAGTCTGTAGGCTGACCTAAGTAGCAGTACCTACACCCTATTGCCAGAAGTGCTAGGTTAGGTGAGCAGGAGGGGAGGAGAAAAGGGCCATATAGACATGAGCACAGGACTCAAGGACTGACCTGGCTCTAACACTGCAAAAGGAAGGAGCTCTGTTGGACTCTGTGGAGAGCCAAGTTTTGAGTTATGTAGCTGTCTTCTTTTAGAGTCATGCGTTAACCAGCAAACCAGGTTGTGGCTATGGGTGATGCTTGGAGGCCACACAGCAGGGTGCCAAGGGAGTGCTCTACATTAAGCCCTGTATAGGGCCAGCATGCAGTGAGGCTGGGGCCCAGGAGCCAAAGCCTGAGACAGTGAGCCAAGCCTGAGGACCTCAGCAAGAGAAACGGAGCCAAAGCCAAAAGAAGGTCAAGACTTGGGCAAAAGGATTAGTGCCCCAGGGGCAGTTAAGTGAGTGTGGCCAGGACTAGGGAAATCCCACAAAAAATAATGGAGTGACATCTCCAAGGCATCAAGGTGTAGCAAGCAGGACAGTGAGGAAGTCACCCTGAATAGCTGAGGAAAACATGTAGTTTGGCCACTAGGATGCATTACAACCACCCTTAGGGGCTTCTCTCACACCATGCCAATAACCTCAGCAAGACTTCTACTTGGCCACAAGATGAAAGTAGTAAGACAGGAATTTCTAAAAATAATTAGTAACTTCATCAATCCTTTTTCATCAGTCAATAAATTGGTGGTGCTGACCCAATGACTTCAGAGAAGCATGTTATCTGATATCTGTTTAGTAATAGAGCTGATGAAGGGCAGTTTCTGTAAGGGATGGGAAAGGGAGATGGGAAAGGGGGACATGCTATGTAGGGCTGTGCAAAATTTCACCGGCTGTTTTCTTTCGACACTGTTTCGACTTGTTTTGAGCTTGAAACAGTGAAACTGAAATGAAACAGAGGGCTTTGAAACAGACCTTGAAATGAAATGAGACCAGTTTAAATGTTTCAAAAGTTTCAAAACATTTTGAGTTTTGAATCATCAGCTAGGTGGTAGGAGGCTGGGGAGAGCTAGGGCTGCGCTCCACAGCCCCATGTAGCTCAGCCCGGCAGAGAGCGCAGCCCTGGCTCTCCCTGCCTCCCACTGCCATGCTGCATTCTGATGGGCTCCACCAGCCCCATGGAGCTCAGCCTGGTAGCAGGAGGCGGGCAGAGCTGGGGCTGTGCTTTGCCTCCCGCCACCAGGCTGAGTTCCACAGGGCTGCAAGCCACTGGGACCTGAGCCCAGTGCAGGGGGCAGAGTGCAGCCCCGGGCCTGCGTCCCACCCCCCACACTGGGCTGCAAGCTGCTGGGACCTCCTCCAGCCAGCTCCCGTACGGGGCCAGGGTAGATCAGTTGGTGCGGAGACCTACCACCCTGTAGGAGGGTCCTACACCAGCTGATCTGCCCTGGGCCCTGCACCCTCCTCCAGCTGGATGCAGTATGGGGCCAGGGCTGATCAGTTGGTGCAGGGACCCTCCACACTCCAGACCGGTACTCCTGCCCCCCCCGGCCCGCTCCCCGTGGTGCCAGCTGGGAGTTCCAGCAGCTTGCAGCTCCATGCAGGGGGTGGGGTGCACCCCTGGGGCTGCACTCTGCCCCTCCACACCGGGCTTGGGTCCCAGCAGCTTGCAGCCCAGTGTGGGGGGCAGGGCACAAGCCCAGGGCTGTGCTCTGCCCCCCCACACTGGGCTCAGGTCCCAGGGGCTTGCAGCTTGGTGCAGGAGGCAGGGTGCAGGCCTGGGTCTGTGCCCTGCCCCCCTACACCAGGCTTGGGTCCCAGTGGCTTGCTGGCAACACAGAGAGTGGGCAGGGGGGTAGGCATGCCAATTCAGGGCAGGGTTGGTCCCCACATGAACTGATCTGCCCCAGCTCTGTACTGGAGCCAGCTAGAGGAGGGTGCGGGGCCCAGGCCAGATCAGCTGGTGCAGAGACTCTCCCCCGCTCCAGGATCGGAGCAGTGGGTCCCCACACCAGCTGATCTGGCCCAGCCCCATGCCGCTGGCCCCAGGTAGCAGCACACATCTCCTGTCAGCTGGCAGGCAGATCAGGGGCCTGTCAGCACCCCCGGGAAGGCTGTGTGGACTGTGCTGGAGTCCTCCCAGGGCTGCAAGCCCCTGATCTGCCTACCAGGTGACAGAAGCCGGGTGCTGCTGCCAGGGACCAGCAGCAGCCCTGATCTTCCTGGCACTGGTCCCAGGTGGTGGCACCTGGCTTCTTTCATCTGGCAGGAAGATTGGGGGCTTGCACCCCTAGGAGAACTCCAGCACAGCCCCTGCAGCCCTCCTGGTAGTGCCGGGAAATCCCTGATCTGCCTGTCTGCTGCATTTTATGTTTCCCCATAATAACTATGGGTCAAACGTTAAAACAGCATTGAAACAGAAAAACAGTTCTGATGGAATGGAACAGTGGTTTTGAAACAAAACAAAACTAAAAATGAAACACCGTTCTGTAGAACTGGCAAAACTGAAGCCGAATCAGAACAGTGCTGTTTCGCACAGCCCTAATACTATGTAGGAAGACCCACTCTTCACTAAAAGCACAGATGAAGTTCCTTCCTTTTTCTTCGCTCCTGGGCTTGGGGAACCTCCCTCTCCTCTGCGTTCATTACTGCCTACTTTAGTGCGCATTTACAAGGCCAGTAAAGCGGAACTGAAAGCTGGTGCTTGATTGAGGTGTTTACTGACCTCCAAATTTTGCTGTCAGTAAAATAAAATAGTACTGGCAAATAATGAAAGAATGGTTTGAGATGGAAATCTCACAGCAGCCTTCAACTCTCACTTAGCTTCCTCTGCCCTATAGAAGATCTTTTCCTCATCACCAATTTGATCAGAGAAGGAAATCTCCCCATCTCTTCCTATCCCCTGCCTAAGTTGGAATCAAAGAAAGAAAATGGTTCTGTGAGCTCCATTTGCCCCTTCTGGAACTCCATACAGGGATGTATGGGCTGTAGATGTGTGGGTAGATATTTGAGAACAAGGCATGTTCCTCAGTGTAGCTGAAACCTAAGGAAAGGTTAGTTCACTGCCTTTCAGGTCTGACAAGATGCAAGAAAACAAATGCTCTTAACTCAGTCTGCTGAAGAGTATTTTGCTCTATTTAAGTGAAGTTTAGGGAATTTCAAGCTCACCGTTTGCAAGAACTTCTGCATAGGTATAAGACAGCGATCCTTCTAATTCTTCATTCTGTGGTTCACCTAAGGAAAAAAAAATCCTTCAATGAACATTTCCCTAGAAACATCCTTAAATGGATATCTCCCTGGCTACTTTCCTGCTGCCTCTTTCCCAAATGGTCTAATTCTTTTCTTAATAAGAAGTATTCTGACAATCATTTGTGGGATGAAAAATACTTTAGAAAAAAATTATTCTAGGATAGCTAACTAACTGCAAGACAATGCCAAAATATGATAAAGAGAACTTAATTTCATTTGAAAGTGTTAAGAAGAAATACATGTTTTCCCAGGGTGCTAAAGATACATTAGAGATTAAAATATTAAAACGTGCTATTCAAAGATTGGCAGTAGGCATTTATGAGATGTTATTTAGTAATTTATTAGATATTGTATGGAATATACTTTGTTTTTAACATTAACTGCATGTCCTCTGGCCCCAAGGTCTACTCTAGGATTAGAAAAGGAGATGTTATCCCAAGAGAACCTTTTATATCTTTTGTGGACCAGTCTGTTTACTTTCAACTTGGACCCCGTATTTCTTTCTTTTCTTGTCTGATAGAGCTGTATTTCAGTTATTTGAGCTTTGCTCCCTTAACACGTGCCTTTACAGATTGTTATTACTACTGCAGCATTGTATTTCTATTCTATTCTAATTACTGCAGCATGGTGTTTCCTGACTATTTTCTAAGTACTATGCAGAGAATATCATGAACACTATATTCATTTTATCTACCTGCAAGGACAACATGGTAAAGGATTTAATGATAACTTGAATCAATTTGACTGAAAAAAATCATTAAGTTTTGTGCTGGAAGTCATTAATGACTGCTATAAGGTAACTTGGTGCTGACTGGAAAAAAATCACCAAGGTAGCTGTGCCCCTTCCAGCTAAAGGGAAA